CACATAAAAAAAAAATTAATATAACGCGGGGGGGGGGGGGAAGCCTAAGCCAAACCCAAGCAATTGCAAGAACATAAAATAAACCCCATTTCTTGGATGACTTATTAGATGGATACGGAATTTATTACTGGATACACCTCATATTCTCTAACTAGAAAATATACACATCCCTTTCCATGCTCCTCTGGATCCCCTGCTTACATTCCACTGCAGAGGAATATTGCAAAACATGTAGCTGTATGAATCTGTGCTTTTATGCGTAGCTGCCCATTTCTAATACACCAGGGAAATAATAATTGGTAATTCCTGGATGCAAAATCTGTCTATTTCCCTTAAAAAAAAAAAGGTCTGAATTGCTAGAGTTGCAAAGAATGGGCATTTACAGGATGCCACTCCTAGGCTGTGCTCCCTCTTTTCTCCGTTAGTGCCTATTCCATGTCATTCCGGTCACCTCGTTCTTCACACGCTCTGCAGACACCACTCACAACATGGCAAAAGGCCACAGCGCGACGAAACCCTGCTCCACTTCCCTGCCCAGCCATACCGGCCGTGAGGTTTTACGGAGAACTTGGAAGCCCGGGTGGCTTTGTGGTTTGGGAAGAATCATCCTAGGGATGTACTGGGGAACATGGCCAGCAAGGACCGAGATGTCAGCATGGCACAACTTTCCTGTTTCAGTCTTAGGAACACACGAGTATTACTCCTACAGGCTATTAAATTTTTCCTGCGCTACTTCAGCTGTTTCGAAATGAGAGCAGCAGCTGCTTGCAACAGCAGCAGACGCAGCCTGATGCATTTGCTGAAAGTATCGACCAAAACCTCGTGTCTATAATGCTTATCATCAGACTTCGCGCTAGTTCCTACTTCTCTCATTGCTGCAGAAACCCGTTGGCTACTAATCTTAAACCAAACGCGATCCACCCCAGTTAGGGCTCCTGCTCCGAAAGAGACAGACCTTTTGGCTGCCACGTGGTTTAGCGCCACTTGAATTTTATCCAACTGGACAAAATAGAAGCTGGCATTTTCACATATTGTCGGCTTGAAGCGGCTTAAAATTTCTCTAGAAAGCTGCTTGGTAACAAACAAGGAGAGACAGCTGCCTGCAGAACTCAGGAGCGTAAGGTTTCATTGTGCAGCTAATCAATTTTAGTTTTGCAGCATCGTTGAGTCTGCAACCTTCACCCCTTTTTGGGTCAAGAGGCAGCTTCTCCTCTATAGTGGGAGTTAAAGGAGAACACTCTGCAATTTAGGGTAGAAGTTGAAACAGAAGAGAAACAACCAGCCCAGCAACAAGCCGTGAGGACGATACTGATGGGTCAGACTCTTGTAGAAGAGCAAGCTAGTCTACAAGCTTAAGAAATACACAGGAGAAGGTACATTATTAGAATGATACCTCACTCAAGACCTCACCAAAATGTATCGATTTTGGGGCAGGTATTATTTCCCCTCTAAAAATCAGGGCTGAAATGTTGCCCCTATTGCATTTCTCTGCAGAAACCAAAGTGGCCACCTCGGAGTCTTCAAGCATCGAACCATACAGCTCAGCCAGAGATCTCTGATAGATTACCAGAAAGCTGGGGAGCTCTGGTGAAATGTTTCCCTAATTAATGCTAGACTAACGCTACCAGATTGACATACCTGCTTCTGCCTTGTTCTAGTCAATATATTCCTATGACCACTTGCTCTTCACGTCTCAGTCACAGAACACCCATACTATTTGCACGGTGTAGTAAGGGAGCAATGCACGTGCCCATCTGAAAAGGCTACTTTTGGGAACAAATTTCCCACGATGTGGCTGCGTAATTACAGTACATAGCAAAGGAGAGATGCAGATCACACAAAAATACTCAACAAAAAGGGGATTGCAAAGGTTCCTGTAAAAGAGAGCTACTCACAAGACAGATTAACACAAACTCGATAAGACTGCCTACAGCTGTGATGCATAAAGGAAGAAAGAAAGAGGAAGGAACTTAAAGGCACAGTTTGAGGAAGAAAATATCAGAGGTCAGCAATGTCCCAGAGCTGGAAGACGGTTTGGAAAGTACGGAAAAGAAATCACTACTGAGCAAACGCAGAGCACAACCCCAGGTGTGTCAGACAGTGCTGACGTGGCTACGATACACCAAGAACTAGACAAGGATGCTCCTTGGCCTGTGGTACCAAGTCACATTCGAGCAGCCAGAGAAGCTCTGCTCTGAAAGAACTAAGCATTAAATATAAATCCCAACTCGCTGCAGACAAATCTCTAGATGCAAATGAACAGCCAAGGCCTTGCTAAGAGAGATTCATACACATTTTTCTTACACAGCCTACAGTGCAGGAGATGCGGTCTCTGTATTTATGCATAGTTAGTAATATAACATACTTGTGTGATGACTTTTAACTGAAGTATCGTAACACAGTAACCAGGCAGAACAGTTAACATCGTGCTCAACAAGCTCTGTCACAAGCTCTGTTAACATCGCGCTCTGTCATTTGCCCACAGAGGCGAGATTAATTCATTTCCAAAGAACAAACTTGACAACAAACACTGAATTTGGGTCCTCAGTATTGCCAATCCTTCATGTTCAAGACAACATGGGGCACTGTCAGGAGGTCAAACAACTGGCTTAGAAACTCCTACGTTTTTAACATAGTACAATTTTAGAGATTCCGAAACTAAGGCCAGACAGGATAATCAGATCATCAGCTCTGACCTCCTCCATATCACAGGCCACACCATTTCAGCCACAGCCACAGCCACCTCATTAACTTGTTCCAAGTTGCAGCCCGAACTGTTTGCTAAACACATCCCCCACCGAGGCACCCTCTCGAGGTTTTGTCTTGTTTTGAAGTCAGCTTTTCCAATTTCTAATTTCCATAACTAGTTTGAATAGTTAGTCACGCTCACTGTTACTAGTATGCTTCTGAAATCCAAAATTTCAGTTGCTGTTGCAATAATTTTATTTGTTTTTGAGAGTTTAGGGGCCAGAAATGTATACCAAAAAGTGAAAGTGACGATTCACACATTATTACTTGAGTACAGAATTTGGGAATTTAAAAGAAAAACCCCCTCGGACTAAATATTGTGGCATTTGATGAAATCATGAGAATTGACAATACTGTGCCATTTATTGTTAATCTTTTACAGTTTGTGAATGTCATTCTCTTCCATGAGAAGGTCACTTTGTAATTACCTACGCATTCACATACAGCCTGTAAGTATGCTTCTATGAAATGCAACTGAAAGTAATTGGAGATGAAAGCTTAGTCAAAACTCCTTAAGAAAAAACTGGTGCGTACAGAACTTCAAAAAAACCTCTCTGAAGTATCCAAAGAAAGGCAAATTTCAGTGGAAATGGAAGATCTTTTAACACAAATGTGCAAAAAGCATCTTTCATTGGAACTAAAAACTGAAGTAGTGAAATTGAACAAGAGTTAAACTGTAGAAATCGTCTAGGAAACAGGAAATTTTGCATACGGAAGTCTACTTTGCTGGGCACGGGCACCCTTCGGTTAGCCCTTTCCTCAGAGCATTAACCTGACTGTTCCTGATGGAGTGCAGAGAATGAATTCAGGGTGCTGCTCCACGGTGCATAAAGTGGGGATCGGATAGAAATTTTTTTAAAAAAAAGTATTTACAGGTCTGTAAATTTTCCAAACAGAAAATATAAAACTGCATTAGAACTGGGGTAAAAAACCAAAGAATCCTACCTTGAAAAACTGCAGATTCCCTCCGTCTGTTTGATGAGAATCCTGACTGTGTGCAAATGCAAGGAAACAAGCTCGCTGCTCCAAGTTTTCACCTTGTTCAAAAAGACTGACAATTTTTTGCCGGAGTCCTACTGAAAGTAGGTAGAGGATCCAGCAAGAGCCAACTTTCTTGCTAAAACGTTTGCTATCGAGTTTGCATTCAGTTAAAGAACAGCTAGAGAAGAGGGGAATAAAACCAGCAGATGAGTTTTCTTACAGAATTCATTTCACTACTATTTCACTCCACTCATGTACTTGTATCAGTCAGCCTGATACATACAGCTGCTGTTTAATGTAACTCACTGCTCATCTCTCTTTCTCTCACCCACAACACACATGCACTCACACTCCCCTCTTCCTCCTCCAAGGACTGCAGTGCTTTCAACAAGAGAAAAAATAATAATAATAAAAATAGCAATAATTAAAAAAATCTACAGTATTCACTTCCTTTTGGTATATTACATCGGCATTTTCTGTACATGACCCAAGAGCTCCCTCTATTTACACAGTGATATGGAAGGACTTGTTCTCGGGAGCCCGGTTCTCCTGGCCTTGAGTGGGGAATTCAAGCCCACCTTTCAGAGTTCTTCTCTCTCCTTTCCATTTTATTAGCAGCATTATGTAAACCTGTAAGGGGAAGGGGGGGCTATTTTGAAGGTTTCTTGAGTCTGCTCCCTCTTGCCCTGGCTCCTGGGGAGATGGCCGGCAGCACCTGCCCAGTTAGCAGCTGCTGTTTTTGAATTCACCATTCTCCGTGATGGAAAGCTTGGTGGGATTGGTGGGGGAGATGCCATTGCGGACTTGCATGCTGTAGCGCTCCTTCACCTGCGTCAGGGCACTCATCAGCCGCGTGTTGGCAGAGTCCAGGGACACGATCCGCTTCTCCTGCAACAAACACCCCACAAAGTCAGAGATCCTTCAGAAATGAAACGCCTTTGCCCCACAAACCTGCTTTATGGGGAACTTCCAGGACCCGGGGCTGTGGCAGCGTCTTCAGATGATTTCTAGGCAGAGGCAGCTCGGCTAACATTCTCTGGTAAGATGGGATGTCTGCCTCTTTCTGTTTTCTTGGGGTAACACGGCCCCTGCGCGCCACGGGCTTTTCACAGGCCGGTCTGGCCCTCCTGGGCTTTTTGCGTGACGGAAGGTGACAGTGAGTTACGGTTGCATTGGTGAATTGATCCAGTCACAGTGGCTTTTATCCAGACAGCCTCTAACCGAGGCAGATGGAAATGCAGGATTTTGCCATGGGGGGTGTGTGTGGTGGGGTGGGGTGGAGGGTGTTGGTGTTAATAACAGCAATAGCCAATTTAATTTTTTTTTTTTTTAAATGTTAGAAAAACAGAAACAGGCAGCAGAAAATAAAAGTGGTGGAGGTTTCATCTGGCAGAGAAAAGTGCAAGTGGTATCTAACGGCCATTGTCTCCGTATTTTCGATGGATTGTGCTCAGAATAAACTCATGATATGCTCGAAATAAATAAAAAAAAAGCAGATAATGGCAGCCTGCAGTCACCAGCAGGGGTGAGGGTGCAACAGCAACATAGAGAAGAAGCAGCCAAAAGCTAAAACTAAGGGGTTATTTGAGGTGAAGGGGGAGAGGGCAGCGTGGGTGGAGGGGGAGATGCCATTGACAGAACACAAAGAACAAACACTGAACACACTGCTCCTAAACCCATTCCAGCTCAGAGGGGCTCCCGGGCTCGGCCGAATCCAGGGGTCCCATATCCCCAGTTTGAGTCTTCTGGCACAGAAAGTGCTAGCCTCCACTTTTAGCAGAAAGCTAAAGGATGTGTGCTAAATTCATAAAAAAATAAAAACCCCATTAAAAAAAAAAAAAAAACAGCCTACTAACAGCTGGATTATCTGCAGTGAGATAAAGCACTGGAGGGTAAAGCCAAAAAGTTGGTGGCGCAATTAGAAATGACAATTTTCATCTTCCCTCAAAAAAAAAAAAAAAAAAAGCAGCCACACAAAGCAGCAACAGATACGGCAAAAGGTAAATACACTCTCCATGCTAGCAGCTGATTGGCTTTTTTTCTTTGAGAAGGAAAAATACCTAATTTACGTGGATGAAAAAAGCTGCATGCAGGAACTTTTCCCAGTCCAGCCCATTGAGAAACAAAATGGAAGGAAAAATGATGCACAGAAGGCACAAACATTAAGGGATAGTTCAGACATACTGCTCAAAAGACCTAAGTGCTACGACAGCCCCTTGAGATTTTGATCCCAGCACATCAGCTGTGTGGTACATCAGTAATCAAGTAACGTTTGCTTTTCTCAGTGGGTTTCCCCACAGGGGTAAGCGTTAGGGTGCACAAACAAAGCAGAATTTAAGTACTGCTTGTATTACAGCCCTGAAGAGACCAAGCTCTATACAGCAGAGCAAACGGAGGAGGAGGCACGAGAAATCAACAACCAGCAAGGCAGCCGACAGCCTGCTCTAGCCCTTGCCCTGATCCAGTCAACGTAAGTAAGGAGAAGCGACGATGGAGGAGTTAAAGGCTTATCCTTTCCTCCCATGCTGAAATAACTCCTGCGAAACACAACTGCCTTAGCAGAAATGTGTTCTTCAGCGTTAAAGCTCCTCCTCCTCGGACTAAATTTCACCTGGAATATATATAATTTAAAATTAAAATGTCTTTCCAAAGAGTATAGCTTTTCAAAGACTTAAAAATAAAAGGCTGGTTATTTTCTGGCACTGATGAGTGCTCAACTATGCCAGTTTGCAAAACAGCTGGAAATCCACACGTGGAAAATCGATCTTAAAAGCATGAGCTTGGTGAGTAGAGGCATCTTCTCACTCAAAGGAAAATACAATCTAACAAACACGTGCCTGACACGGATGAATTGGGCACAGGGAGTGGGAGGAGCTGGAATGGGTAGGAGGTCAGTGCACTGGGCCAGGACTGGGTACTGCTCAGCTAGAGAACTGATTGGGTTTACTTGCCTGTTTGAATTATCTCATCCCCATTTATGACCTGTAATTTAACACAGCGGAGATGTCACTTGCAATAGCAACTGGGCTAGCACTCTTTGCAGCTCCGCTGCTCCAAGGAGAGAGTTTAGCCGGAGCTAGCCCCTTGCTCGGTCAGAGAGTCCCAGAGCCAACCTCTGGAACCGAAGGGCACACCAGGCGCTGCCCAGAGCCGGTGCGAACAGCACGTACGCTGAGAACAAGGCTGTCCTTGTGCATCGGTGCAGTACCGCCTGCTGCACCTCACCACAAGGCAAAAGGGCAAATCCTGAAAAGCATCTCGTGGGGATGTAACTAAGCACAAGAAGCCCAGTTACTGCTGTTTCCTAGCAGCCATTTAACCCTTCCAACAGGTGCGATAAGCATGGTTCCAACTCCACTCCAGAAATCGCACGTAAAAAAAAGACCTTTTCTCTTCTAGACACTGCTATATCCCTTTGCCAAATGAATCACAGAACAAGAAAAATCTTCCAAGCGCAACTGAAAGGGATTGCTACAGAGCCCAGCGAACAGTTGGCCTCCTCTGGTGTGTCTGTTCTGAATCTTTTATCAGTTTCCTCCACTGCACAGGTACCCATGAAAACGCAGTGACAACTAAGTTTCGCCCGTGAACTGGTTGACCCTGAAGCAGTTAAGGTTTGCTGATGACCCTGCTTGCCCAAGTAGCTAACAGCACTTGAAAAGAAAAAGGTGTCAGATTAAAAGAAGAATCATTAATGCTACTGGTTTGCTACTGTTTTTTCAGCAATTTCTACTGCAGGTGATAAACGATGCATCGTTTCATCAAGTGCGATCAAGGACCACACCTTTCCAGCCTGAGGGTTTGAAGCTTTCACAAGTCAGCAGTGGTCTGGTCCCCTCTGCCAGCTGGTGACACTGAGGGATCAGACTGGTCCACCCTGCACTTTGCTAGTCCATAACCTCACACCGCGACTGAGAGCCTATTGGAATAGACAGGTAACAAAGGGAAGGGCAAGTTTCTTATTCAGTCACAATCTCTCAAATCCTCCCCTCCCAAAATCACTTTTTATGAGTTTGCTCAGTGCCCCTTTCACCTTCTTGAGGCAGACGAAAAAGGTATCACCTCCTTCGAAAAACAGGCTGCTGTTGGGATGAGCTGCCATTCCATCAGTGTGTAACAGCAAGATGCCCTCACTGTGCCTATCTCTGAAAAATGGCCCAGCACGTTCCACTTCCACTCCAGCTTCCACTTGCCACACTCCTTGATGAGATTGGAGGCTGCTGTATGTTCCCCCCACCAAGAAAATAAAAAAAAAAATAATACAGTGACTGACTGCATTCCTGTTCGTTCTCCAGCACTGCGCTCTCCCACTTCTCATTTTCAGTGCAAGTCCTCACAGAAAGGATTTAATCTTGAGCCGCATCTAGAAAGGGTGACTACACTGGTGTCTCCATGTAGACCATCTTGCACAATAGCTAGGAACTACGTATGGTGTAACTCCAGTAGGATTTTCTTTTTATTCTGCAAGGCTAGGTAACAGAAGTGCCATGTTATTATACACAAGCGATTTATTCCGATTGGATGGCACGGATCCAAAAACACAGCTTTCATCAACAGTCTTTCTGAAGAACTGTGGAAAAATGGGCAGAGGCAGCAGGAAAAACTTAACTTTCCAAATTCTCATAGAGAAATCTGCTATAAATATGCTCCTAGTGTTACCAGGCTTTTAAAACCCCAGATTTTTTCTATTTTATATTTCCCTTACAGTTCCATGTGAGCTCAAACATTTCTATCATTGCTGGCCATTCAATAGGAAAAAAAAAAAAGGTCAGGGTATGACCTTTTGTGCTCACTTATGCCTACATTCTAATACACCAGTACCATCTTCAACAATGTTCAACTGAGGCTTTCCCCTCCCTCCCCTCTTTGTGAAGGGAAACAGCTCTCTGAAATAACTTGGGTTACTCCGCAAACGGGTCATCTTAAGATTATCTATTAAGGAAAGTTTACAGTCGGAACTACTGAAAAGCCCAGAAGCAGGAAAGATGGCCTCCAAATGCAAGTATCACAAACATAACACGGCAGGCAGATATCACACCAGTCTCAGGTTCTGTCGTACAAGCTTTGCTCTCTGGGATCAGCGCAGACACAGAAGAAAAGCTGAAACAATCCCACACAATACACCCACATGCATTGCCCACTGGGTCCCGCTTTCCACAGCTAATGTGTTGACTGAGGCAAGCACTGCAAGTCTGTGGCAAAACGGGCATTTCTCCAGGACTGACGGGGACAGTCAGATGGGGTGAAATGCCACGTATGACATTATACAGGGCAATGCTCCATCGCAAGCATTCTCTTTTCTTGACTCGGATGTTCAAAGCCATGCTTTTAGCTTGCATAGCTGAGATGCATGCACATGGCCATTAAACTATGCTGGTATGAAGCACAGCTTTTCCAGAGTTCTCAGGCCCACACTCGGAACAATGTCTGCACAATGCACCACTATTCCTTTACACCCTTGGGATCTCACAAAGTAGAAAACGTTTTGGAGAAGCTGTATGTTCCCCCACCAAGAAAATAAAAAAAAAAAAGTCAGTCCTGTGATTTGTTGTCAGGCTTTCTCAAAGCCTAGTGTCTGACAGTACAGTCTTTATTAATTAAAAAACCCAATTCTCTCCTAGAAGGCAGTAAGTCACATGTACAACACCATCGGCCAATACTGGCCTGGGAGCTAGATAACAATGCTGGGGCAGGAGGATAGGGGAAAATAATGGGTTCTACACACGGAACACTTGGGTTTTGGAGATCCTGAGCTCCTTACCTGTGCATCAATAATTTTCTGCTTTGCATCGATGACAGCTTGCATCTCTGCATGATCCTTCTTCAGCTCCTCTTCAACTGCCATGAGTCTGATAAGCAAAAAGAGGTATAAATCAGGGCAGTTCAATACTATTCCAGAGTGTTTCAGGTACTCAGGCCTGTTCATTTCACTTCTCTGATTGTCCTGGCTCTGCAAGAGAAGAATTCTGCTGCACTCAGAAAAGCTTATCCATCCATCTGACACTCCCAATTGCCTAACCTTGTTAGTCTCAAAATGGACATTGCCAAAACCACAACTGCTCTGAAAAGCTACTGCCTTGAGTCTACATTCCAAACAAAGCATAAAGACCTGTTATAAGCACAACAGACACCAGGGTTAAAAATTCCTACATCTTTTCCCTCACTGTCCTGGCAATCCGAGGCAAGTTTCTACACCTGCATCTGTTTCTTCATCTCTAAGGCAGGATGATAGCAGTCCAGAGATATCAAGAAGTAACTACGCTTTTTAGTGTCAAAGAGAACACATGACACAGGGGAGCTCCTTGTCCTACGCAGTCCCAAACTTTCCAAAGCCTCACCTGCTGATGATACTTTTCATCTGGCTGTCCTTCTCCTCCTGTTGCCTGCGCAGTCTCTCCTCACTGTCTTCCAGCCTTGACTTGTACTCCATCAGCAGCTTCTGCATTTGCTGCTCTTGCACCAGGAGCCGCCGCTCATACTCCTCCAGCCGGCGGCTCGACACCTTCAGGCGCTCCTTCAGCTTCGCTATCTCTTGTTCATACTGCAGGTGAAAGGCAAGAAAGAAAGAATCAGGTGCCAAGGAAAAAGGAAGTGATCAGATCATTATAATCCACTGCTGCTGTTCAGAGAAAGACATCGTGGGGTTTTTTTTCATGAGAAATAAATTGATAGAAGGAAAGAAAATGACAAGCAAACAACCGTGGACAACCAGAGACAAGGAGCACATAAGCTCCCACTGAGCATTGAGCTATTCCCATACTGTAGGATGTCATTCTGCAGCACAATTTAAGCAGTCACAGGGGTCTGACATGGCTCCTCACCCCTGACTGGTAACAGCCCCAGTTACTCCAGACTCAAGCAGTTCCCAGACAGAAGCTGCCGATACTGCTCAACTGTAAAAATGTCCTGGGGTGACGCAACTTACAAAACAGACCAGTATGGGACCCAGACAACTTATTCTTCAGGACCTAATCAAGGCATGAAACCACATGTGAAGATAGACCAAATTATTCACTACAGAATAGAGCCTGTAAGTTTACTTGGCTGAGGTTTTGTTCTTCTACTTACTGTCTCTGTGGACAACCACCTCTGCAATAGTGCAAGGAACCTCAACATATTCCACTTTGTTTTGGGTTCATCCACCTTTCCTAATAATCCTACATTCCGGCTTCTTGTCCACCAAATGTTCTCCTCCTCGCTCCCTGCCTTCTCAAAATACCAAACCTCTTACTAAACTTCATCACCATAGCAGCACATAGATGTAACCGCATTTGGGAAAATGGTATCTACTCCTGAAAATAAATACGCTTTAAAAAAAAAAAAAAGATCTTGAACGTTTCTGTGTAGCCCAGAAACAGTGACTACCTAGATGACAGGCATTTGCCTCGGGTGAAGCCCAAGACAAAATTTGAATGCAAGTACCGATGAAGACTGAATTGCATTTAGAGAGCCTTGTACAATAACTTACCATGTCCTAAGCTCAGTCAGGTTAATGATCGTGATTTTTTTTTTTTTTAATGGAGTTTAATGATCACTAAAAAGTTTTGCAAGCATAGAAAAATGGCAGTATGCTGTAGCTATAGTGTTGTCATAAAAAAATAATGACTTGAGCAGGATCTAATACACTTAGGCAGTGTGACTCACGATGCATGTAAGTGCCAAATACCAGCCTGTAATGTACAAACTCTCAGCTATGTCAGTTTGCACCCATTTGACATGCTACAGCCTGTATGTGGGTTAATCTATAGTATAGAATAAGTACTACAGATATGTGTGACAGCATGTAGAGGAGGAAGTTATGCCAATACAACCTGTGTTTGAAAGCATGACTCTGTCAAAGCAGCGCCTGAAAGCGGTTCTGAATTTGGCAGTGGGGTGGACAGGACTCACTGAGTGTCCTCAAATCAGCTGCATATAGAATAAAATCTACCTTTTCAGCATGCTTGACTTCGTCTGGATTCTGCTCTGCATCCTCCTCTACTTCTTCATATTGTCCATTATTGAGAACCCACGCAGCTGTCCTTTCCACTGGTGACATTGTGGCAGAGTCCACAGGCGACTGAACCTGGAGCAGAGATACCTGTGAGCATTCTTCAGAGAAACTACAAACAAATCAGCTCTAAAATCCAGTTTATTTGGAGGAGAAAAATGACCACGAATCTGTCAGTCTCAAAGGATCCCCCAAAACCTCTCTTACAGAGATACTTCATCCTCCCTTCACTTTGGACCCACAGTACTTACTGGAGTCCCTCTAAAACCAACGCACTTGATAAACTTTTCCCCCTCTCTAAGCGAGCTTCTCTTTGGAAAAGTTCTTGTTTCCACATCCTGTTCACATCCACCTTTCCCCTTTGCCAGATTTTCAGTAAGGCTTTCTCAACCTGTGATCTCTCTCACAAAGGAAACAGAATGACAAAGCTTCGCTTGCAGCCCGTCCGGGTAAGACAGATTGGGTTTTTTTGGAGTATTGAGAAGCTTAACTTGGGAGCAGCTTTCTCAGCCAGGCTGCAGACAGGCTTTGCCACGGAGCACGAGGCTGCACGGCCTGGATACGAGAGAGCACAGCAGGACTTAGAAGCGGCAAAGAGGTGTAACATTATCACTGTAGTGCCTATCAGGTTTAGAGGGTCTATTGCAGCATATACACTCAGACGAGGCTGTGAGAGGAAGTCACGGCCAGCAGTGCTTACTAGGAGAACTGTAAAACATCAGGAGAGGCTATCCTCTTTAAGGGAATCTGAAAAGGAAGCCAAGAAAAGAAACAAGAAACTCTCTGCTGGCTGGGGAAAATATGGCTTGCTACAAATTCCAAGCGATTTTCATGGACAAAGACAAGTTTATAAGCACAGGAATTAGCATAATTACCCCTAAAAGAGCAACACTGTCTTAATTTTTTGAGAAATGTGAAAGATCAACTCCCCCCCCAGCCCCCCAACTGTAGCTTCTTTTTGCGCTCAAGCAGCTCTTCAGCTCACTGCCTCATTTCAGTATTGCACCAAAGTGAAATGTGCTCCGTGGCTGGGGGACACTGAGGTCTAAATTTCAGCAAGGAGCTCTTTATGGAGGAGTAACAGCTTCTTTACATGAGTCAGGTGAGGGATCATGTCAACCTCCATTTCTGTTTCTCTTGTGCAGGAGAACAGAGCGGGCGAGCGCTGCATACGTCCTACGTGAGCTCTGGGCAAAGGATCTGCCTGCAACGGGCTCAGCTGTCCTGAGCAGCGATGAAGACTCCGGCACTGGAAGAAGCCTCAGCAAGGATGGGTACAAAGGCAAAGGAAAGGAGTAGGAATGAGGCAAAGATCCCTGGATTTGGGCAGAGGCCTTTTTGCTAGAAGGAAGTCTTCACAGCAGAAAGGCGAATAGTCCCTTTCGAGTGCAGTGCGACAGCTTAGCAAAGCTCCTTAGTTAGATTTTTTTGACGGTATTTGCTGTGAGGCAGCCATGGCAAGGGAGACTACGAACTGTGTGCGGCTCTGCCACCAACAGACTCTTCGTGGAGGTAAATACTTTGGCTCTAGGAATTGCTGTAAGAATTAGGAACAGCTATGGGTGAATAGTGTCACCATTCATTGGAGTTACGGAGGACTAAGATAGCAGAAGGGCGACTACAAACTGTATCGCCAGCCCTGGAACAGACTGCTGTTCAGCAGCAAACCTTGCCAAACAACCTTGTAAGCTGTAGGACAGAATATTTCCAGCAGCCAAACTCAGAAAGCCCACAATGACCAAGTGGATGGCAAGCACTTCACATGCTAATTGGTTATGAGTTATACTCTTAATAAGAAGGGAAAAAAGAAAAAGGCTGCTAGGAACGTGTATTAATTCCCCTCTTTGCCTCTCTTCCAGAGGCACACACTGACATTTCTGTTCCCACCTACCTACTAAATGGAAATGGAAGGCAAAAAGTGACCTCTCCCAGCAAACAAAAGGCCTAGCTCTATATTCAGAAACAAATGGGACTTGTAGAGAACAGAGTCTAATAATTATAACGCCCACAAAGCATGCCTAGAAAGAACATGCCCAGAATGAACATGCCCAACTTCTCTTTTCTCTTTTTCTTTTTTTAAGTAAGAACAGAATTCCACAGCACGATTTGCAATTAAAAGGATGCAATGGAATTTGCCTCAAAAAAATGACGGCCACTTGATTTGGCACACAAGACATTTCTCAAGAGTATGCAGAAGGAAAGAACAAATTGATTTCCCTGAATAAAGTACGAGCGAGTACTCTGACGAATCCAGTGGAAACAATTAGTATGGAAAGCAGAGTGGAAAAATAAGTAGATGCACATTACCTACAAGAGGGGGGAAGGAGACTGCCCTGAAGCCAGTCATAGTCGCAGGCATCCATGAAGCTGAATGTAAAAAGTAACCGGAGAAGAGGGAAGTCCAAGACAGTCACTTTGATGCTAAACAAGTAAAGGTAACTGATTTACTTGGGGGCAGTCGGGGAATCAGCGATTTGAGATGAGAAGAACCAGGGGTTTGCAAACAGCTAACTGAACGGTTCTTGTAAACACACACAGGGCAGAAGCCACCTGTGTGAGGTATACACACAAAGACTGGAGACGCACCACCTATACTTTCTCCTCCTTACCCTGACACCTTCAAAGTAAAGCCTTCTTTGGGTATTTGTGTAGGCACTTCCCATAACAAACCTTGAGGAAAGGCACCAGCTCCCCAGGGATTTTGGCTAGGACACTACACAGAACCATACAATAAAACTCAGCAGATCATACAATAGAGGTTCATACTGGATGCCTGAGAACCGCAAAGGGAGTTTATCCTTCAAATTTATCCTTGTTACTGGCCGAAAAAGTTCCTACCACCTCTGCACTAGGCTTAGTTGTATTTAATATACTTTACCTATCAACCCCTCTATGCCCAAATGTGAAACACAGGCTCCAAAGGAGGACACAAACATACGCACTTCAAATAATATGCAATTACTTTTTTTGGTATTACTAACTTGGCATATTAAACTTCGCTTTGTGATTCAGTGTTTCTGATCTCCTTGTACTTTAATGAACTTGAGGTATCAAAGTAGTTCTAAAGCCCTGAGTGCTCCTGGGTTCCCAGGCATCATCCAGATTTTCCTCCTTTTGACGGTAACATTCAGGAGTTTGCCAAGAAAGCTACACCAACAGGGATACCAGTAAAACCTTCAGCAGAGGAGGAGCTCCCACTGGCAACTAAGTTCTTCTGCCAGCTTTAATTTACCTTACAAGCCAAAAGCCGCCTCCCTGCATAATCATATTTCACCAGTGCTTCTGCCAACAGGGCTACATCAGCAAGGAGGATCATAACCTCCTGCTCCTGGCGGATATACCTTCAGCAGCAGCAGCAGCAGTCTCAATATCAGGGGCTACGACTTTATGGAGTGTAAGTCCTTGCTTGTGCCTGTGTGCAATGTAGCATCCTTCCTAGAAAGTCTTGTGGAAAGCAGGAGCTTAATTTCCTTCTATACCAGGTAAGGTAAATCAAACATGACCATGTTTACCCTCACAGTGACCACAGAAGAAAACACTTATCCCCAAGGAACAGCGCAGGTGTTGCCTTCAAAAGCATCACCCTGCCTAGCTGATCTGCAGGCACTAATATGACATTGTTAAAAATACCCACCTTCCCTTTGACCTGCAGATCGAGACATTTTTCACCTTCGCTGTAGTGCCAAGCATTTAAATACTCATTTTCTCTTTAACACTAAAATAATTTAGGAAAAGATTTTCATACACAGCAAATCACAACAGGATTATTATTTTTTTTTTTTTAAGGTAAAGGAATGTTGGCTTTTTGACAGGAAAATCTTGAGTTGCAGACGCCTATGAACAACTGATAAAGTGCATTAGGAGTTGGTATATATAAGCACTCCTTTCCAGAAAGTGTTTGCATTATTCATAGTTTGGGATGATTAATGAAAAAGCCATATTTATTTGGGGACCAGCAATAGATTGTTGCATCATGGTGAAATATAGATTTCTCCACACTTAAGACAACGGCACTTATTTATTATTTTGGCAGCAGTTTACTCTATATTTTATCTTTGTTTATGTCTCTGTTTTTAGGTAGCTATGCTTTTAAATTAGCACTACAGGGCAAATACAGTCTCACGTGGTGATCTTAACTACAATTTGGAACAAAGCTTCTTCTGTTGTTTTCTTTTTTTTTTTTTGATTCAGGAAATGCTCAAGTTTTGTTTCTTTCAGCAGGCTTGCTGCTACCTTACTACATGGAAAACATTTTTATTTTAAATTTAGTGCAAAAGCATTGAAAAATAGTAAGTAAGCTAGGCTTGCCAAGCTTGTCAGGGTAACGAGCACAACTATTCCTCACGCTTGCTACTGGCCGCTCACTTAAGTGACAGTACTCTTGATTCAACTCAATTCAACTCAAAGGTCAAAAAACTTTGAAGGTCGGTGCAGCAATCAGCTAAACATCAAAGCAGAAAGCGCCCGGAAAAAAAGGCTCTCCTTACCTGCTGCGTTTGCTGCCTCTGGATTGCCCTCACCTTTGGGACAGGGCTCTCTCTTGAGGACGAGGACTGCTGCCGGGACCGGCTCCCATTCTGAATGGGTTCAGTCACCATGGCCCCCGACACTCCCGACATGCTGCCCGTGCTCCGCAAGGAAGCGCTGTGCGGCAAGGACTGCGGTGCTTTGGCTCTGGCGCCCAGCCCAGCTTGGTCCATTTTGCGGATCTGTGCTTGGCTGCTGCTGTTCTGGCGGGGCAGCGCGATGGGGACGTGCTTATCCGGGACCGTGTGGCGCCGGGAGAAGTCCTCGCTCTGCGTGCTGCGCTTGGTGAAGTCCTCCATGCTGCTGTTGCTGGGGCCGCTAAGTTTGAAGTCTTCGCTGTTGCTTCGGCTCCGGGAGCTGGCGGTGCTCAGGTTCTCCAGGCTGGAGTCCACGGAGGCCTTCGGCATCGGCGGGGTTGGGTTGTTGAGATGGTAAACCGGGTTCTGGAACGACAGAGGCTGGAGGCTGCCCTGTTGGTTTAAAGCCGGGTGCAGAGGCCTTCTCACCTGGGGAGCGCTCTGGGGTGTGCTCTGAGTTTCCCACAGCTGTTTGATGTTCGCCACCTGTGTGATAGAGAGCTGGCTGCCGGCCAAGCGCAAAGGCACGTCGTGCATTATAGAAGCATGGTCACTGTGAGCCGTGTGAGGATCTTGGAGGTCCATGAGAGAGATGCTACGTCCATTGGGCAGGATGCTTTCCCTCTCATCCTTATCTGAGTAAGTCATGCTCTGGGTGGACGCCTGCTGA